CCTATCTACTCCACACCGAACACAAACCCAATCTGAATCTTGAGATTTCACTTTGCGTGAGATCTGCCCGACTTGCGCCCCATCCTTTTACCCTGCTTGCTGGCTGGAACTTTTTAGAACTTGCCTGCTCGCTTTCCTAAGAGGTATAATTTTTTTTTAATTTTCAACCAATACAATATTAAATACTAAATACAATCTAAAAATATATTTGCATGCATAGTTATCTATTTCAAAAATACACACACCAATAAATATTCACATTCATAACATAAATCTGATTTAAATTAGATTTTAAGTTGAACAAAAAAAATGAACTAGTATTGTGTTTTAAAAATATTTTTAAAAATAATTTAAATTTTTTATTTTAAATTAATATATTTTTTTTATTTTTAAATTATCTTAATATACTAATTTAATCTAAAAATATATTTGCATGCATAGTTATCTATAAAATCTAACCTTAACTTTTAAGGGCAAGAAATAAGATAAACTAGATATTTCAAGAATACACACACCAATAAATATTCACATTCATAACATAAATCTGATTTAAATTAGATTTTAAGTTGAACAAAAAAAATGAACCTAGTAGGTTTAGTATTGTGTTTTAAAAATATTTTTAAAAATAATTTAAATTTTTTATTTTAAATTAATATATTTTTTTTATTTTTAAATTATCTTAATATACTAATTTAAAAAATAAAAATATTATTAATATTTTTTTTAAATAATTTTTTTTTAAAAATAATCATAACCACGTTCCTACCTTCCTAGACACTTCCCTTCCGAACATGCTTGTATAGTCACCACAGCTGTGATTTGTACCTGGACTGAACCGAGCCTTAACCACTGATCGAACCTTTCCTTTTTTGGGCCACATTGTGTATCATTGTCGAATAACTAGTTGTCACGTTATCTGAGGATTTGAACAAGACCTGATACTCTTCGAGGTTTCCGATAACCCAATGTGAACAAGGAGCGCCGGTACCTACCTATATATCTTAACAAAATCGAACCTCTATTCACTATCCAAAACTAACCCTTACTAAAAAAAACTAGAAAAGCCATATCAAAGTACAGCCCCTTAGGCGCGCCCGCCGGCACGCCAAACCTTTTGTGTCAAAATAGCCCTCTTGCTGTGCAGTGTGAGTAATGGCTGTTACCCTGAAATCAACCCCTTCCTTCTTCCAACTGAAGAAACCGGAGACCCATTTCATCGTTCGTAATAAACCCCCTATCGTTTCAACCAGAAGGTTCGCGCCAATGGCGTCTCTCTCTGCAACCCGAAGTCTTGGTATAGGAGAAACATTCTCCAATCTCAAGAAACAAGGCAAAGTAGGTACCGCTCCCATAGTAAATTTTTGTTATATGAGGGTTTTGTCTTGATAGTTATATATATATATATATATATATATATATATATATATATATATATATATTATTTGAGTAGATTGATTTTGCTTGACATGTTGAATGAGGTTTGACTTGGAGATTATTTGCAGTTTTGGCAATTTACTCCATTAGCGGAGATTAAAGTTGCACAGAGGATTCTGTGTGTTAGTATCCCTGTTGAATCAAATATTTCTACTGATTTCTGTGTTAGCCATGTCATAAGTAAAGATGGGAGACTAGAGGAGCTCATTTGTGTTATCAATTGATAATATTAGAAGATGAAACAACTTTTTACATAGGTTGGATTGAATTATTTGTGGGGTTCGGGTTGCGAGGAGGGCATTGGATTAAGAGTTTTGGTCTGGAAATTTATTTGGATGGGGGAAGCTGGTGAGAGGAATAATTCATTTCTCATAATGTTGTTCTGATAAGCATGCCTGTGTGTGAAGGTGGCGCTCATTCCATACATCACAGCCGGTGATCCTGATCTTTCAACAACGGCAGAAGCCTTGAAGCTGTTGGACGCCTGTGGATGTGACATAATTGAACTGGGTGTTCCTTACTCTGATCCTTTGGCAGATGGTCCAGTTATCCAGGTATGATTATAAAGTGGTTGCTGGTTGGATGAATTTTCATATCCATTTGTTTATCGGAGTCTCTTGATTTAGGCTGCAGCTACACGCTCCTTGGCTAGAGGGACCAATTTCGAAGCAATCACATCAATGTTAAAGGAGGTAAGGCCATTATACTACGATGCTATACTTCTACCATGCTGAGACAGAGATAGAATTGGTGGATTGGGGACTCTATTGAAACATTTTTGAAACTGCACAATTCCTTTCGTCATGCTATTAACTGCTTAGATTGCATTTAAGCATAGTTTGCATGAGCATAAGGTCATAGGTAAGTGAAGACGTGACTGCCCATATAATAAGCATAAGGTATCCCTATTTACAACTTTGTTGCCATTTTCTTTTATCATTTGAATTTCCTTGTATTGATTCAACTGTTGACTGCACAGGTGGTTCCCCAAGTATCGTGTCCAATTGCATTATTTACATATTACAATCCAATTCTAAAGCGTGGAATTGAGGAGTTTATGTCCACTGTAAATGACATCGGCGTGCATGGTAAATGGAAGGTTTATTTTGCAGCACCTAACTGCCTAGTTTAATGATCTTTATCATGCCTGAATGATGTGGGAAAAGAGGATCACTGTGCGCATTACTAGTTTTTTTTTTCTGTTTTTTTTTTTTTGAGAGCTGTGGGTGATGTACAGCATTATTATATGCATAAACTTATACTGGTTTTGCAGCACTTGTGGTCCCAGATGTTCCTCTGGAGGAGACTCAAGTTCTGAGGAAGGAAGCTGTCAAGAATGGGCTTGAACTGGTCTGTCTCACTTCATATTTCGGGATGATGTATTTCCATTTTGTCTATTAATATTGCGTGTCCCTAAGGAGTTGATATAAAAACACTTCATTTCCTTTTGCTTTGCTAAAAAATCTGAAAACATGTATACTAGTGGCAATTGATTGTGGAGTTGGTGATGGTGTTATAAAAAGAAAAAGGACCCTTTCTTTGCTTTTCTTTTTGGAAAACATAAGTTGTTTGTGATGTATTATTGATCTAAATCAACACCTTTACCTCATTGTTATTATGTTGATGGTGTCTGCTGGTTTTCATTAAAAAAATATTTTTGGTTGTGTGATAATTGAAGCAGGGTACCTTTCGGTGGTGAGTATTGGTTTTCCTGCATTTTACCTTTTGAATTGTCAAGCTTAGATGTAGAGTGGCTCGTGAAAGATAAGCATCTACCATGTGTTCACTGCATCTTACTTTGCACCTTGGTGATGCACAGGTACTTCTTACAACACCCACTACTCCAACAGAACGAATGAAAGCCATCGTTGAAGCGGCAGATGGATTTGTGTATCTTGTAAGAGCACTTTGGGAGTTAATTAATCTTTTGTCTTAATCTTAGTTGAGTTCTGATATGAACAAAGATGAAGTACTCAATGGTTTGCCATCTTTTTTGACATCTCCATGTCTTCTGAATGGCTATTTTTTGTGACATTTCCATTTTTTCATTAATTATAGGTAAGCTCAGTTGGAGTTACTGGTACTCGTGCTTCTGTAAGCGACAGAGTTCAAACCCTTCTCCAGGATATTAAAGAGGTTTGCCTTTATAATCAGATTTCTTTCACAGGGCCCTCTATTGATAGGTGGCATTGAGACAATTATTGACTCCTTCAGGATGTCTTTTAGTAAATGGCATTACACATCCCTCATTTCAATCTTCTTTTTATGACAGACAACAACCAAACCGGTAGCTGTTGGCTTTGGCATATCAAAACCAGAGCATGTCAAGCAGGTTTGTCTTCAAAACCTGTAGCTGTTGGCTTTGGCATAATGTAACTTTGATGCCTATAGATTGTCTTAATGCCGTGTTAGTTTGGAATTTCTTTCTTTTGTAACAGGTAGCAGGATGGGGTGCTGATGGTGTCATTGTTGGTAGTGCGATGGTGAAGTTGTTGGGTGAAGCAAAATCTCCTGATGAAGGATTGAAGGAACTAGAGAGTTTCACAAAATCTTTGAAAGCTGCGCTTCCCTGAACACAATCTTTTTGGGATGAAATGATAGCTTGTAACTCGTATTTTCAACAGCGATATGCATTGAAATTGAATAAAAATGAATCATGTTGTTTACTAGCATGGACGTTTCCAGTGTCTTCAACATCTCAGGCACTTTATATAAGTTACTGCACTGCTGAGTTATAAGGATCTCAGCTTTGGCTTTCATCCGGCTGCATTGCCATCAGACAATATGAATTAGACAAAAAATTGTCATTTTGTGTCTTCGGGGAGGGTAGGGCTATGGCCACCATTGATAGAAAATCTGGCAGTGTACAAGTTGCTTTTCACGTTACATCTGGTTTATTTGAATATTTTGCATGCCAATATAGCGTCAGAATGTAGTGGCGCAGATCTGAATTCATCGTAGGATTGATCTACATTTCAAACTGCCTCTTCAACATTTCCATTCCTTCATTACAATCCATCTAAGCCCATTTCATTCTTCTAGCATAAGCGTGTGCTTAGAAGACCTGTGCACCCAGAGCTCTGATGTCAGTGCAGGCAGAAAGAGCCTAACAGAGGGCGAAACATTCAGCTTCATCCTATGAAATCTCTTTTGGATGGAAGTTCATCAATTCATGCCGTCAAAAGTTCAGAACATCACATTTCGGTTTGACATCAATTCCGAGCAATAGTATTATTCCAGAAGTCAGGTTTAAGTGTTCCATGGTATACAAGGAAATGAATGCACACTTAGATAGCAAGCTAGCCGAGTCCTCAGTCGATAGGACGGAGACCAAATATAGGCATTTTGTTCAGGACTAGTTAAGTCGAGTCACGACGCTCCAAACTAGCAAAGCGTATCCGCGTGCGACCGTACTTTCTGGCTCAAAGTTTGGGGTCTTTCCTAAAAGAAAACAAGATAGCCCCCCTCAAACCAAGAGTTGGTGTCACCTTACGAAATCCGACGTGGCAAGTCTCAAGCTACAAAAGACTAGCTGCAAACTTTGCAATGGTAAAAAAGGGCCAACAGATACCAACTGCTTGCAAATATTTATATTTCAAGTCATTTCAGTCTGGGTTTGCCACAACATACCGCGAGTTGAAGAACATTAAGCAAAGGGATTCAATTATGTAGCATAATCAAAGCTGTTCCATGTCACTCCTAAGAATGATTTATTATAAGTATTCCATCAAAACACCCCCAAATTGCAATTACAATATACTGATCAAAACAGGAAGAGAAGCGACTAAATCAAGCAGTAAAAGAGAGCTACCCACAATATACAGCTGGGGGAGGACGATAAAGCACTGAACAAACAATGAGCATAAGCTTCATGTCTCTGCTCAACGCCTTCCAGATGCCACTGATTCTGCAGAAAAGAGGTACTTCACTCTTGAAAGAACTGAATCCTGTGTTGGGTCATAAGGATGGTCTTTCGAAGGAATCTCCAAAATCGCTGGAACTGGCTTGTTGTAGCTATCAACCAAAAATCTTATCATGTTTGCAACCTGAAAAACAGAGGATGAAAAGGTTACCTTTTAATTAAAAATTCCCAAAGCAAATCAAGTGCAAGGGAAAAAAAATGCTGATTTTGTGTGTGTGTGTGTGTGTGTGTGTGGCAGAGAGAGAGAGAGAAATCAAATAACTAATTCAATGAAGGGGGTAAAGAGCAGTGAAATTGAAAAACAATGCTGAATCTACAATGGTGCAGTGCCCAGAACAGATGTGGAACTAAGTGAGCTATGCATTATAGCACCACCCCAAACAGGGTATTGCATATTTGATCAAAATTTCATTTGTGTTCTTTAAGCGTCCACATATTCACTACATGTGAAGACATAACTACTCCAACCTAATACCAGATTAGCACCAACAATTTAATCGATGTAGTCCTTGACAATTGTCAAAGACTTACGGTTCCTCTATGCATAATAACTGGAAAAGATGGCTTTGTGAGACTATTGCTTCCATTAACATTGAACCAGAACAGGAAAGAAAGAAAGAGCTTTTATGCGACACTTATGCTTCAAATGCAAAAGACTGGAGCATCTTTTGAACTAATGAGTAGTTAAATGTTAAAGGTGACAGGTATTCAATAAAAAACAATATAATGAGCATACATATCTGTACAAAATCATGATAAATTAATTAAAATGACCATGAGTTCAAGAAACAACTTACATATTGACTTATCAACACTATGGCTATATCCTCCCTTGTCGTGAACTCTTTAAATGCATCTTCAATTTGTTTAACAGTTGTTTCTAAGAAGCATAATGAAACATTTTCATAAGCAAAGGACAATAGGATTTCTGAAAAGAATATTCACACTGAACACAACTCTCTATTTGATGGGTTAAGGAAAGAGAAAATCTGAATTTAGAACCTGTCAATAAATGTTCCAGCCTTGGAAGAGAATCCCAGGCATTATTAGCAATCAAACCAAGCATTATCATATCAAAGTTCTTTTGTAAACGGTAAGCTTTTTCATTCAGGAATGACATATAAAGTAAAGCATTAACTTGGAGCTTGAAGAGTGAGCTGCAGAGGACGATTCATTTAGACATGATGGACTTTGCTGTATTAGGGATATGACAATTTTATGTTTATGAACCTATGATTAACCACAGGCTTTCATATTGACCGTTTCCCACCCTTTTAGCAACTGGTTATGATAAGCATCCCTGCGGAGTTCATAATAAAAAATTGGGTTTTACGGTGGTCCTTCTTCTTCTTCTTCTTTGGGAGGGGGGGAATGGAGGAGTAATGTGATATGGAAGTAGAATCACTTTGAATAAAATTAGAACCAAAACAAAAGGTAGAAGAGGAAACAAAGCAGAAGGATATGACTTTGACATCAGTTTCAATAATTCACCATGAAGAAATCAAAATTTTAAAAGAATACCCTGACATTTATGTGACAAGTATATAATGATATAGTTACACCCTGACATTTATGTGACAAGTATATAATGATATAGTTACATTCAACCACAAAGATGGATTCCCTCAAAGATTTGCATCAGCCACAACAAAATCCTAGAAGCATATGGTAGTGCCTCTCCTTGCCAGATGATGAATCAGAAATTCTACGTGGTTTTGTACTTCATCTTTTAGTCAAGCAACCCCCCATACGCTTATCCATATATTTGGATTAAATTTCAAATGGGATATCCAAATCAATACAGAAAGCACCAAAGAAAATAGTTACTCATGAAACTGGAGATTGGCATAACCCATGTTCAGATAAAGATGCATTGAAAGCGAAAAGGGCATTCAAATTTCAAGAACATACTGGAATCCACGATGAGGTAATTCGTCTTTCTCCGCAAATCAACATTACCCACTCCAGCCATCAAAAGTCCAACAATCGTGTCCTACATCAAATTAACATACTTGAATTTGTTAAACATCTTTCTCTTTTTTCCTACGAAGGAAATCGATGAATCCTCTCTTACCTCATCGGCAATCATTGCGATGAGTGCAGAGTTGTTGGTCGCGATTTGAGCTCTGTTTGCCATTTAAGATGAATGATGATGCAACTACAAAACAAACAGTAAAAAAGATGCAGAGGAAAGATCCATTATCATTAATCATAATTCAGCAACCAAACATGCGCTATTATTAAATAAAATAAAATAAAAAACATCATAAGACAGTGAGAACCGCTTTGTCAATTAAAACTAGTACCTTCGGATTTGGATTAGTCTTCGAGTCAGGGCGGTTTTCTTGAATCGAATGGAATGGATCGCGATATTTGAGAGAGAGAGAGCAGGAAATTATGGTCTGAATCTGGAATTAAGATGTCAACAAGTGAGAAGACGTTATCCCACGCACCGTATTATGCTAGTACTCGATACAGCTCACCACCCGTTCTCGCTGTTTTTAATAAACGGCGTCGTGGCTTCAAGGTGCTCCGCAATGGCTAGTTTTCTTTTCTGCTACCGCAGCCTTTTAACACGCACGGATCGTGTGGTAACGTTTAAAGTGGTGTTTGGGATAAATTATTTGGTTGCAGTTTTTATTTAAAGTGTTTTTTTATTTAAAAATATATTAAAATTTAAAAATTTAAATTTATTTTTAATATAAATATATTAAAATAATTTTAAAATATAAAAATATAATTTGAAATATTTTTTTTAAATTCCTAGTTGGAACATGGCCATACACCCCTAAAACTGCAAGAAATAAGCAATTGGTTGTAATAATTTTTCATAACAAGCAATTAATTTTATTTTTCAATAAAAAATTTCAAAGCAACCAAGTTTTTTTTTTAATTTGAAGATATACACATCATAGAAAATTTCTAAATGATATTAAATAATACTTAAATGAATAAATATTCGTTAAATAAAAAAATAATTTAACTTGAGGTTTAAAATTAAGTTTAGAGTTATTTTTTTAAAATGATGATACTTTATTTTATAACAAAAGAAATAAAGATAATGAGGACTGTTTTGATTGAATAGATAAAAATAAAGTTTTATATTTTTAAATATAAAATGAGTATAATGTCTATTTTTTTTATTCTTAAACAGTAATTAAAAATTACAGTATAATAAGCTTCTCTTAAACTTTGAAATTTAGATTTAAAGATAACCAGTTTTTAATATATATATATATATATATATATATATGTTTATTCAGCATAGATTAGCTTTAAGAAATTGATCATGGCCAATTATAATATCTAAAAATGCATCATGTGATGATGATTTCCTGGCTGTTTCTGGTGGTATCAATGAACCCCTACGATAAGTAAAAGAGAGAACAAGTTTACGCGAACAAAAAATCTCGGGAGAGGATCAGCACAGAAGGAAGAAAAGAACAAACAATGAACAGTGTGTTCTCAGTCGACGATTTCTCCGACTCCTTCTGGCCGTCTCCTCCTCTGTCTCCACAATCAACAGCTCCGGCGATGAATAGAAGCGAATCGGAATGGGCGCTAGAGAAGTTTCTACTAGAAGCCTCCGCGGTCTCCGTATCCAGCGATACCAACATCGCCGCTCAATCGGCGCTTTCTCAATCGACCACGTCATCGATACCTCCTGAGAATGGTGAGGATGAGGTGGTGGAGATCACAAAGCATCCAAATCCTCATCCGCAGCGGTTGGGTCGCAATCCAACGAACCTGATTGATTCCGACCGCGCTCTTCTCAAGTCGAAGCTCTATCGCGCTTGTACTGCCGTGGCCATGTCTAGGGTATATGCATGCTGATTGAATTGTGTGCGCATGCTTTACATGTGTTTTTGATTGGTAATTTACTGAAAAAAACTGCAGGAATCCGATGCTATAAAGCCGGAAGATTTCTCTTCGTTACTGGAAGATCAAAGGCTAGCTGCTGGAAATGTTTCTTTGGGAACGCAAGCTTTTCGTAAGAATTTTGCCTGCATCTTCTTGAATTGTTTATCTTAATTGCTGATTGCTCTTAGCACGTTTGTAATAAATACTGCTTAACTGATAATTTTAAAAAAGAAAAGAACAACAAAAACTGTTAATAATATTCTTTCAAAGATCATACATACTCTTAATTTTAATTGATTGCGGTAAAAAAGCCTCTTGGATTGTAAAATGTTTGACTGGTGAGAATTGTTTGAGCTATTTGTGTTTTGGCGGATATGGTATGCACCTTTAGGAGATAAGCATGTAGTTGGAATCAAGTTCCTTGCACTTGAAGTGCGTCGTGCTAACTACATAAGCTCAGAAACTAGAATAGAGCACACCTTATATTGCATCCACAAAACCCCTGATTTGTACGATGTACATTTATCAGATAAGTTGATCAAAGTCGTGATATGCCTCTCTCTCTGTTCACTTTCATCCTTGTTGTTCCCTTGTATTCTTAATTGTTCTTCACCTAATTTCCATAAAGTCATATAAATTAGAATTGTTGCATGTGGCGCTCTCATCTTATGCAAGATATGCGTTTTAATTGCTGCAAATCTATGAACTGCACCCAGAGCGATTTCATGCTTCGTTTTTCTTATTCAGGTTGCAGCAATATTTTGTTTGACTTTTAACCATTATAGGCACTGGTCATGGCATCTCAATGGCACAAATTGGGGCAGATGGTGGATCACCTGGCATTCCAGCTTTACCCACTGCACAGAAAAAACAAGAGGTCCAAACCAGGCAAACAACCAGTGGGTCATCAAGAGAAGATTCGGATGATGATGACCTTGAAGGAGACACGGGAACCAATGAAAATAGGGATCCTACTGATGCAAAACGCGTGAGGAGGTATCTTCTTATTTGTTAATATTCTTGCTTGGTCTAAGAGGTTCCAAGGACAATTTATTGAATTTGTATTCTTTGGTCATATGCCTCCCACTTCTCCTTTTATTTTGCATTTATACAGGCAAGTATTATTTTGAGGGATTCACACATTAGTGCTTGAGTTATTGGTGAATCAAACTCTGTTTTATGATGGGAGAGAGACAGCCTCACTAAACCTGACCTAACTGCCTTCCTGGGGGATTTTGGGGTGGGAGAAGGAGTCTGTCTCTAAGTTTTGGGAATTCTCACTACATGCAAGTCATTATTGTCTCAAAAAGTAAGGCCTTTCACCAAACACTGTTGATATCTTGAAAATGACTCAGGATGCAGTCAAATCGAGAGTCAGCTAGACGCTCTAGAAGAAGAAAACAAGCACAGCTGAATGAACGTGAAACACAGGTTGCCCAATACTTTTTCTGTGGCACTCCTGTGCCTTTTAGATTATGATTCTTTATTAAATACTGAGTCTATGTATATGATATCCTATAGGTTGGTCAACTAAGGGATGAACGCTCTTCTCTGCTATCACGCTTCACTGATGTAAATCAAAAGTGTGATGCTGCTTCTGTTGATAATAGAATTTTGAAGGCTGATATTGAAACCTTAAGGGCAAAGGTAAGTCATTTGCTTCACCTATTTAGCTGCTTTGAGGATTCCTGTTGTTGTTTGAAATCGCCTAGCAATCCACTTTCAGACTCCATGCTACAAGATCATGATGTTTGAGAAAATGAAATCCTTACAAAATCATAGGATGTCTCATAGAAACTAATTGTGCCTGTGGGTGCCACATCACATCATGGAAACTTCTGTCTCCATGCAGAGCACACGAAATAGTTATGCATGTGTGGGGTGACAAACTGCATCGGGTAAAACTTTTGTCAGAGTATGCGCTCCTACAAAGTTCAAAGAGTCATAGCAACAATTTTTAAAAGGTCAGAACAAGCGATTTGCATGTGCTTTGTTCCCGGTGTTACTGTTAGTTGCCAGATAGTTTGTTAGTCATGTGTGAAGTGCATTGGTGTCCTAGTCTTAAAACAGCTCTATTTATTACATTTGTTTCCATGAACTGCTATGATTTACTCCGTTGAAGAAATTTACCAAATCTCTCAGGGGCACAGCTATTTTATTTAACTTTCCAGGTCAAGATGGTCGAAGAACAAGTTAAACGAGTGACAGGTTTGAACCCAATGCTTCTCGCAGGGTTTAACGTGCCTAGCCCTGGGATGCCATTTGTTGGTGGCCAGGTGGATGCATCTACAAATGTATCTGTACCAATGCAACCAAACCCCCACCAATTCTTTCATCAGCCAGTTCATGGTATTACCCCTGCTGCTCCACATCTCCAAAGACTAAACAACAGCTACCCTGATAACTTAGTTCCTCTTGCCACAAACCCCCAAACTGACAATGGAACCAGTAATAATGGTGGAATGGCTTCAATGAAACTCACAGCTGGTGGCCGAAGTCTGGGTGCCATGCCTTCCACGCAACAGGTGCAAAAGCAAGTTGGTGCTACTGGCGGTCCTGCTGGGGCTGTGCCTATGCGTGACCCGGGACTTCCTCATGTGTTTGGAAAGGATGGCCAAAAGAAATGAATCGGGTTTTGCCCCCGTCCATTCTGGTGGTTTTTGGGAAATGGGGCATGCAAAGTTTGTCTCGTGGTACAAACACGAGTTGAAATAATTCTGACTTTCAAGACATGCTGGGTTTTCTGCGTATAGTTTACAAATAAACCTTTTCTGCTAGTAGATCATCTTATTTTATTTTTTTCATCTAGACGCGGGACATGTTTATGCAACATAGCGTGTCAATAGGAGCATTGCTTATAACGATCTCCATTCAAGGGGCCGTTGTAATTATCCTTGCATGTTAGATTTTGAAGATGGAAGACATTTCACGATGGCATTAAAACTTATTTTCCTCATGCAAGTGTAGCAATTCCTAATTTCTTCGCTTTCCCACCCGAAAGTGGATTTCAAGTTCCCCTTCAGCAACTAGCGTCATCACAAATAGTGGAGCCGGCTCTGGGTTAAAATAAAAAAAATCAGCTTCCAGGTTGTATATTGTTATTTGGTAGAAACGATAGGATAGAATACCAAAAATATGGTAACATCATCGTTGCCATCCCTGAAAAATAGCAACAATGGTCTCAATCAACTCTCAAAAGGCCCGCCATTGATGGATGCACGCCCGCCAAACTTGGTAAAAAGTTGTGACCATCCAAACAAAGGTTCTAGAAAATAATTGGTTCCTCTTGCAGTTCTAGAACCTGACAACTGCCAAAGGCAAACCCGCTCTTCCAAATTTCTTCTGGCAATATGCTAGAACAGGTGGCATTTTGAAAGGACCCTCAAAATTTGAATAAGGAAAGGGAAAAATGAAACTAAATTTGAGCATGATTTCGCATCAAAACATGCACTATGATAAAGATGCATATTGAATCACAGAAGTGCTCGTTGCAATCCACGCAATGCGTAGGCTAAATTTAGTAAACATTGATCTCCTAAGAACTGTTCGTTGAGCACGTCATGGCAGAATTTTTGTACCAGATTGGATGCCTGACTGAACTTTGCTTTGAAAATAGGCTTCCAGCCTGCATAATGAACGTAAATATAATAAAGTTGGAACCAGGAATTTTGAGGGGGGGGGGGGGGGGTAAAAAAAA